ATAGTAGTATTATAACTAGTATAACTACTACTGTTACTACCACACTAGTAGTATTATAACTAGTATAACTACTACTGTTACTACCACACCATAGTGTTATTACAACTAGTATAACTACTGCTGTTACTACCACATTGTAGTGTTATAACTAGTATAACTACTACTGTTACTACCACATCGTAGTGTTATTATAACTAGTATAACTACTGTTACTACCACATCGTAGTGTTATTATAACTGGTATAACTAGTACTGTTACTACCACTGTAGTATTATAACTAGTATAACTACTACTTTTACTACCACACCGTAGTGTTATTACAACTAGTATAACTACTGCTGTTACTACCACATTGTAGTGTTATAACTAGTATAACTACTACTGTTACTACCACATCGTAGTGTTATTATAACTAGTATAACTACTGTTACTACCACATCGTAGTGTTATTATAACTGGTATAACTAGTACTGTTACTACCACTGTAGTATTATAACTAGTATAACTACTACTTTTACTACCACACCGTAGTATTATTATAACTAGTATAGCTACTGTTTCCTACCACTGTAGTATTATAACTAGTATAACTACTGCTGTTACTACCACATCGTAGTGTTATAACTAGTATAACTACTACTGTTACTACCAGACCGTAGTGTTATTATAACTAGTATAGCTACTGTTACTACCACACTGTAGTGTTATAACTAGTATAACTACTACTGTTACTACCAGACCGTAGTGCTATTATAACTAGTATAGCTACTGTTACTACCACACTGTAGTGTTATAACTAGTATAACTACTACTGTTACTACCACACTAGTATTATAACTAGAATAACTACTACTGTTACTACCACACTAGTGTTATAACTAGTATAACTACTACTTTTACTACCACACTAGTGTTATTATAACTAGTATAACTACTGCTGTTACTGCCATACCGTAGTATTATAACTAGTATAACTACTGCTGTTACTAACACCGCAGTGCTATTATTACTACTGTTAGTACAGCACTACCGCTTAGCCGCATCACACGTGTACACACGTATATACTCGTACACACGTGTACGCTCAACAACAACAGCCGCCATACCCCACTAAGTGGCGGTGACGTCACCAAGGTGCCAGGCTAGGTGCACTTGAGGCCACGTGAAGTGTCGAAAGTTCACTGACACCAGGTCACGGGACATACCCAGATGCCATGGGTTGACTGAGATGCCTGGTGGATGCACCAGCTGTGTCCTTTACTGCGCCAACTTGCTGCATTTTAGCCACCCAGCACTCCGTTCATTGTTGTGAGCACCGCTCCTCTGCCCTGAGTTGTTTTTGGAGTGCGACTGCCTCCAACTGCCCAGTAGCGTCTTTGACAAGCCTCCTCCATAGAGGTCGATCTTGACACCGCTGGTACCGATCTTCAGCAAGTCCACTCAGCTCCACATCCTCCCATACTGCATCAGTCCATCTCTACTCCAGCCCGCTTCTTGCACCTTTTAACCTCTCCAACTGGACAAACAGAAACAGCTTGGGCATGAGGTGGTTTGGCATGAGGGCGACATGACCTAGTGAATGCAGCGTTGCCTGCTGGAGGAGCTCATTGATGGGACTGTCGCGGTCTTTCAGGGATTTGTGAGCTCCTCACACAATCCATCCTGTTTAAACCAAGGATGGATCGTAAGCAGGCCAGCCTAAATCTCACCAGCGCAGATGTTCCATGAGGGGTCAACATTTCACAAGTATAGATAAGGAAGGGCATGACTGATTGAGACGATCCAAAGCTTCGTGTGGAGTGACAGTAGCTTCCACCCAGCATTAGACAGCCGATGAATAGATAATGCCGCCTCAGCTGTCAAACCGGAGCTGGTCATGAGCACACTGCCCAGATATAGAAAAACTCTCCACTTTCCACTCTACAAATGCTCCATTGTATAAAACACAACAACCGCCATTCGCCACTAAGTGACGGTGACGTCACCACGACGCTTGTGCCAGGTTATATGCACCTTGAGGCCACACACACGTGCACACTTGTACATTTACACACTTGCACACACGTGCACACTCGCACACATGTACACACGTAAAGACAAAGGTCTTGTAGCCTACACAGAATATTAGGTCAAGTGCGCACCTATCAAGGAGGGCACTGTACACAAGGGAGGTGGTGTGACCAGCGCCATGGCCGGCCGCCTTCGTCTCCCCCGTGCTGACGTTCACTACACGCCACACCAGGTTCTCGTATTCATCTGAATCTAAGTTGGTAAATTTGTAAATGCGCAACTATTATAAGCCAGGTGGTCACGAGGAGCGCACAGGGAGATGGTAATCGGTTCTGATGTTTGCTGTCGCCATTCTTAACCGCGAGTTTGACTCCAACTTGGCTCGCCGGGTCAGTAGCGAGGTGCGCTATCCGCTACGTGATGCCGCGTCAGTTGTTGTCACAGTTGTTGCCGCTACTGCTCGTACCCGTCGCCCTCATCATTGTCCTCCCCGCCATCGTTGTTACCGTGCAGAGACCCGGAATCCCGTCTGGCGGCCGCCCACAGCAGACGTCCCCTTCCAGACCCTCGCCGTGGCCGACTCGCAGCGCCAGCGCCCCGAGCCGGCCTCCCTGAGCTCGCAGGAGGATCTCGAGCTTATTACAGTTGGCCAACTCGGAATTGGAGCTGGGGCAAACGTCTCCAAGTCAGCAGCCTCTCACCACCGGTGTGACGGTTCAGAACTGGTTTCTACTGCATTGCACACAATACCTGCTTGACCACTTGATGTCCGATCACGGCCACGATGCACCACTCCACTACTCCTTACGCAATCATCTGGCTCGACCACCTCTATCAGAGTGGTCTACATCGGCCGCTTGTACTGCCACCCATGCGCCCACCACTCGCTCTGCCTGCCTGTCGATTGCCTTCAACCCAATGGCTTTGAATACACCACACAATCTCATTGGCTTTGAGAGAGTAAGCAGACCTGGGTTTAGTGCTTAGATGGGAGACTCCCTGGGAATACCGGGTGTTGTGGGCTTAGGCCACAAGGTAACTAGTCGAAGGCGTACATGGATGGATTCTTGATTCCATCTATCCTTATCATTGAGGTGCATCCTCTTCGTATTCGTGACGTTCTACTTGGTACCGTTTCCTCCCACATGCACCACTCAATGCAATTGGCCAAACATTCCAATGTAGCAGGAGCCTCCTGATAATGTCTTGAGACTCAGTAAAGCTCTCCTGCTTGGTTTCCACCACGCGAACGACTGCGGCTGTTGATCGCGCAGCTCCCACCGCGACGATCCCCTCCACGCTGTCCGTGGCTCCCCCTCTCACCGCAGCCTTGCCCAACCGCAAGGTGAGCTGTGCGACTGCTGCCAGTAGTTGGTCAGCCATCCCATCACCTCGCTCCACCCCTCCATGATTTGTAGCTGCTGTCGGTCGCCCCCCCCCCCCCCCCTCGTTGCCACCGCAGCTTCCACTTCACCTACGGGGTTGTTGACCGGGACCCCGCCTCCCGGGGCTGACTGAAGGCGGGTCTCCTCCTCGTCCTCTCCTTCGTCAAAGGTCATCTCAGGTGGGTTCTTCCCTCGGTTATACCGTGACATGATGGTACCCCACTTCTGACACCAGTTGTAATGACCCCAGGAGACACGTTTCTTGTCGGTGATCTTCATTGAAGGCACGGACACTTGACAGGCGAAGACACCGGCTTCAGCAGCCCCGAGCCTCTCGTTTTCGACACGTTTTATCCTATGCGTGGCCATCCCTTAACCCGTGAGCACGCCCCCTCTCTAGAACCTTCTCGATGGCTCTTGGTCCTTGATCCACACCTGCTCCCTTCTGTCACTTGGCCACAGCCTTATTCTCGATCCTTCTCGTAGACCGCAGATCGTTCACCCTGTCTATTCATTAACCTGTCATTACACCCTGTGACCGCTAGTCCCCTGTACTGTCTTTACACATGCATTCATCCACCCAATCACAAAAAACTAACTTACCAACTCAGTCATCCACTCACTGATCTATTCACTCACGCACCGACTCACTCAGAAATTCACTGACCAACCCACTCATTCAATTTCTCACCTACTCACCCACTCATGCACAGATGTACCCACTCACCCACTCCCTCACCTACTCATACTCACGCAGCCACTCGCTCAACCACTCACTCACACTCTCTCATCAACCCATCATCACTCATTCACCCATTTATCTACTCAATAATTAACTCACAGACTCACTCCCAAACGCACGCAAAAAAAAACAACACGAACACGTAAACACACATACAAAAACAAAGACCCCCCGTATAGCCTTAACAGATTGTTGGGGGCAAGTGCTGTTCATGAGCACCTACAGTATGAATACCAGCACAAAACACGAGAGGGTGGGTGGCCAGCACCACGCACGGCCGCCTTGGTCTCACTAGTGGCCATGTTTTCACACCATTCTAGGTACTCATTTGAGACTACACTACACACTCACTCGCACAAACTTACTCTCACAAACTCACACACACACACTCTCACAAACTCTCGCAAACTTTCTCACACTCAATGACTCATTCAAATTTACACAAGCTCACTCTCACAAACTCACGCACAAAGACATACATTCCGTGTATGGGATTTACCGTATAGCCTGAAGAAACTGTGGGTAAGTGCTGTTAGAAATCACCTAGGGTTCAGTGTTACTCACTGACGCTCCTGTAGAGTCCAGTGTTCCTCACTGACACTCCAATAGGGTTCGGTGTTACTTACTGACGCTCCCATATAGTTCAGTGTGACTCACTGGAGCTCCCATAGGTTTCAGAATTACTCACACAAACATCCATACTCAGACCCATAGATTCCAACAGACATCCATAGACTCCAACACACACACACATAGACTCATACAGAGACCCATAGCCTCACACAGAGATACAGAGATCCATACATTCAAAGAGACCCAAAAACTCACACCGAAATCCATAGATTCGTACAGAGGCCAATAAGAATAAAAATAAAAGAGTATTTATTTTGTACTGAAGGAATCTAACGAGCAATAAAGATCTTTTTCACAGATGAGCAGTCAGGCGGGTCAAAATGTAACAACAAAAATAGAATACAAAACACGACAGGAGAGGTAAACAAATTATTTACAAATATACAAATGAAACTAAACAATTTTTTTATCTTACCACGGCTAAACCTCGAAACACCTAACCCTCTAAACCTATTACCCTCTAAACCCATAACCTTCTAAACCATAAAACTCTACCCTTAACCCTCTCATCCTCAAAACCGTAACTTTCTAAAACTCTCAATCCCTAACCTAAATCCCAAACCATCAAAACCCCAACCCTCTGAAACACCTAACCTTCTCTAAACCCGTATTACCCTAAAATACTAACCCTCTCAACATCTAACTCTTTAAACTCTCAACTCTCTAATCCCCTTAATAACGGGTTTTGGGGGTAAGTTCATGTAAATGTCAATGCGTCATTACACCCACCACCACCCGACAGCCAATTAGTACATTTTATCACGTGACCAAAAAATGACAATTTGTTTCTACTTTAGAACACCGCTGTGTTGGAGACTAACAAAAAAAAAACCTTTTATTACAGATAATATTAAGTGTAGGTGTTAAACCCTCTCATCCCTGGCCCTCTAACCCCTTAACCCTTGAAAATCCTCAAATCCATAACCTTCTAAATCCCTAATTCCCTAAACACCCCGAAATATCTAAACTCATAAACCAATAACCTTATAAACGACTAAACTCCTAAACCTCTAACAATCGAAATCCATAAACCCTCGACACCTCTAAATACCTAACTTTCTAAACCCCCTTACCATCTAAAACCCTCACCATCTAAAACACGAACCCTTAAAACACCTAACCCTCTAAACCCCTTTACCCTTAAAACTCTAACCCTCTAAACCCCTAACCCTCTAAACCCCGAACCCTCTAAACCCCTAACTATTTCAACCCCTAACCTTCTAAACCTTTAAAAAGCAACCCTCTAAACACCTAACCATCCAAACCCCTAACCTCAAACTCTAACCTTCTAAAATGCTAAATCCCCAACCTTCTAAATCCCATCTAAACTCCAATCCTCTAAACCAGAGGTCCCCAACCTCCGGGCCACGGACCGGTATCAGTCTGTGGCATGTTAAGAACCGGGCAGCACAGCAGGTGAGCGGTGGGCGAGCGAGCGAAGCTTCATCTGTATTTACAGCCGCTCAACGCTCGCATTACTGTCTGAGCTCCGCCTCCTGTCAGATCAGCGGCGGCATTAGCTTATCATAGGAGCGCGAACCCTACTGTAAACTGCGCATGCGAGGGATCGAGGTTGCACACTCCTTATGAGAAGTCAGAATCCGACACTTGTTTTTGTCCGCACATGGCTCGCCCACTTCCGTCTGCGCCTCTTTCCCGCACTGCGCAGTTTTGGTAAGCTCACAAGCGAACCCTAGCCAAAATGAGTAAAAAACAAACATCGCTGCAGAGCTTCTTTGAAAAGGGAGAAAGACCCAATGGTGACCCCCCGCCCCCCCTCCAGTCCGTGAAAAAATTGTCTTCCACGAAACCAGTCCCTGGTACCAAAAAGGTTGAGGACCGCTCCTCTTAACCACTCACCCTCTAAACCCCAAAACCACTAAAACCATAACCCTTTACAACCCTAACCCTCTTATACCATAATAAAGGTTTGTTGGGTTAGATTGTGTAAATATAAATGTGTCGTTAAACCCGCCACCATCCGACAATTAGTGAATCTTTATTTGAAGCTTTCGTGACTGCAGGAATCCACACTCTTTGGTTCTTTCGGTAAAGTCACGTAGTTAGAAATAAAATAAATCACGACGTTTCGATCGCAACACAAGCGGTCGTCATCAGGCAAAGGAGTCAGCCTCTAAAGGCAAACTGTTTATAAGGGTTTGGAATGGGCCTAGCCCAAGTGTATCAACAGCACCGGGAGCATGGGTGGTGCACAAGTGCCAATGCAGCAACAATGCCAATGTCGCAACAATGCCAATGCAGCAACAATGCCAATGCAGCAACAATGCCAATGCAGCAGCAATGTGAATGTAGCAGCAATGCGAATGCAGCAACAATGCCAATGTAGTGGGTGAGAGAGCTGCCGTGGCAAGAGGTTATATAGGTAAGAAAGGGGGAGAGGAGCAAGGGGGGAGAGAGAGAGAGGGGGGGAGTAGGAAGATGGGGGGGGCGTGAGCGCTAAGGGGATAGAGGACGTGAAGCCTGTGGGGGGGGGGGGGGGGGGAAGGGGGCGGGGATTCAAGTGGGAGGCTGGGAACGCTGGGGATGCAGGGGGAAATTAACATGGAAAAATAGACCAGTACCCGGCAGATATGATGGAACAACCATAAACAATGAAGGTTTTACCTGGTTAATAACATCCTTCCAATGATTGCTAAATTTGTATCCATCTTCTCGGTTGAAGTTATGTCTATATTTATAAATCTGTATGGCTTCATGAACAAACCTTTGGTAGTAGCCCGAAGGTTTGCAGAGTACCTTGGTTTCGGAAAAAAACAATATCATGCGAGCCCACAACGTGAAAACAAGGGTCAGCCACGGCAGAGGTATTGGTTCTGCCGTGTTTCATATCTATCTTGTGTTCGCGAATACGGTCCGAGACATGTCGTTTCGTTTCCTCAATGTAGCTGCTACCGCAGGTACAAGTCAGTTTGTAGACTCCAGATGGGATTAGATCATGGATTAAGAAGGTACTCCACTTCGGCCAATCGTTTCCACTATCAACTCACCTACCTACAAACTGGCCCGTTTTCTGTCTGATACCTTGCTTTCATTCATTGGCAAGACTACCTTAGCAGTACGTAACAGCTCACTTGGTCTCTCTAATAAAGGGCATTTCACTGTCCCCAGATTATTTACTCGTCAGCTTTGATGTAGTTTCTCTGTTGTTCAAGGTTCCTGTACCTGACACTTTAGCAATAATTGAAGATTTAGTCCAACATGGACTGAATCTTGATGTACCTACTGTGGTTAGGCACTGCCTTACCAACACTTACTTCACCTGGAATGGTACTTTCTACAAACAAAATGAAGGTACCCCCATGGGTTCTTCCTCATCACCAGTGATAGCGAATGTTTTCCTGGAGAAATTTGAAACAAATGCCATCCAGACATCCACCCTACGCCCTTCCTTGTGGAAGAGATATGTAGATGACACTTTCGTCATTTGGCCACATGGCCTGCCATCATTGAACCAATTTCTCAACCACATCAATTCCATACACCCATCCATCAAATTCACCATGGCAGTGGAGAAGGATGGTAAGCTACCATTCCTGTATGTTTTGTTTGAGAAGAGACCTGACAGCTCGTTGGGACACTGTCTATAGGAAAGCCACCCACACATATTCCTTTCTGAAACCTGATTCCCACCACCATCCGGCACAGAATAATTCCCTCATCAAAACACTACACCATAGGGCCCACTGCATTTCCGACCAACACCACCTAGCCAGTGAACTGGAACACGTACACCAGGCCCTCAAGATTAATGGGTACTCGGACCGCATTATTCGCAAAGCTGTTTCTCCAACCATGGAGAAACAACCCCCTGAGAAGCCAATCAAAACCATCACGTTACCATACATAGCAGGTGTTACCAAAAAGATTTCCAAAATCTTAAAACAAACACAAGATCCAGGTCCAATTCAATACAGTACACAAAATCCGTGATCTAATCCCATCTGGAGTCTACAAACTGATTTGTACCTGCGGTAGCAGTTACATTGGGGAAACGAAACAACATGTCTCGGACCGTGTTCATGAACACAAGGCAGATCTGAAACACGTCAGAACCAATACCTCTGCCGTGGCTGAACATTGTTATAATGCTGTGGGCTCGCATGATATTGTTTCTTCCGAGACCAAGGTACTCCTGCAAACCTTCGGGCTACTATCAAAGGTTTGTTCATGAAGCCATCCAGATATATAAACATAGATATAACTTCAACCGAGAAGATGGATACAAATTGAGCAATTATTGGAAGGATGCTATTAACCAGGTAAAACCTTAATTGTTCATGATTGTTCTATTATATCTGCCGGGTACTGGTCTATTTTTCCGAGTTATTTCCCCCCGCATCCCCAGCGTTCCCAGCCTCCCACTTGCAGCCCCACCCACTTCCTTCCCAGCTTCACGTCCTCTCTCCCCTTAGCGCTCATGCAGCACCCCCTCATCCCCGTACCCCCCCCCCCTCTCTCTCTCTCCCCTTGCTCCTCTCCTCTTTCTTACCTACATAACATATTGCCACAGCAGCTCTCTCACCCACTGCATTGGCATTGTTGCTGCATTGGCATTGTTGCTACATTGGCATTGTTACTGCATGGATATTGTTGCTGCATGAGCATTATTGCTGCATGGGCATTGTTGCTGCATTGGCACTCGTGCACCGCCCATGCTCCTGGTGCTGTTGATACACTTGGGCTACGCCCATCCCCACACCCTTATAAACTGTCTGTGTTTAGAGGCTGACTCCTTTGCCTGATGACGACTGCTTGTGTTGCGATCGAAACGTCGTGATTTGTTTTATTTTATTTCTAATTACGTGACTTTACCGAACGAACCAAAGACCAATTAGTAAAGTTTGTCACGTGAACAAAAAGTGCCAATTCGTTTCTCCTTTTGCACACCGGTGTGTTGGAGACTAACCCAAAAAAACCTTTATTATGGATAATATTAGTTGTGAAAGTCTGGGTGTTAAATCCTCTACACTCCTAACCCCTAAACCTCATGACCCTATAAATCTCTAACCCTCAAAACCCCTAAACTTCGAAAACCCAAATCTCCTAAACCCCAAACATCTAAACACCTAAACTTATAACCTTCTAAAATCCAAACCCTCCAAACCAACAAACATCTAACAATCAAAACCCATAAACTCTCTAAACTTCTTAAACACCTAATTCTCTAAACTCATAACCTTCTAAACCCTAACCCAATGAACTCCTAACCCTCTAAACCCCTCACCCTCTAAGCACCTATACCATAAAACCCTAAACCTCTGAACCCCTAAACTAAACCCCTAAAACCCCCTAAACTCTAAAACCTATAACCTTCTAAACTTCTAACCCTCTAAACCACTAAACTTCTACATATCGAAACCCATAAAGCCTCTAAACCTTTAAACACCTAACTATCTAAATCTCTTAACCCATAATATTCTAAACCCTAACCTTCTAAAACCCTAACCCTCTGAACCCCTAACCCTTGAAGTCCCTAAACCCCTAAAACAATAGCCATCTAAACACCTAACCCTCTAAACCCCTTACCCTTTAAAACCCTCCCTCTAAACCCTTAAACCCATCATCCTCTAAACCTGTCAACCCATAAACTCTTAGTCCAATAAATATCGAACCCTCTAAACTTCCAACCCTCTAAACCCATCACCCTTTAAACCCCTAAATCCCTATACCCCTAAACCCCTAACCCTCTTAAACCACTAACCCTCTGTGTGGAGTATGTTGGGTAGTGGGTATCACGCTGTGGGTGGGTGCAGGGTGTGTGTGGTGGGTGAGGGTGTGTGTGGTGGGTGGAGGGTATCACAGGTTGGGTGGGTGCAAGGTGTGTGTGGTGGGTGCAGGGTGTGGGTGGTGGGTGGAGGGTATCACGGACTGGGTGGGTGCAGGTGTGTGGTGCGTGCAGGGTGTGTGTGGTGGGTGCAGGGTGAGTGTGGTGGGTGCAGGGTGTGAGTGGTGGATGCGGGGTATCACGGACTGGATGGGTGCAGGGTGTGGGTGGTGGGTGGGGGTATCACGGACTGGGTGGGTGCAGGGTGTGTATGGTGGGTGCAGGGTGTGGGTCGTGGATGCAGGGTGTGTGTGGTGGGTGCAGGGTGTGGGTGGTGGGTGGAGGGTATTACAGGGTGGGTGGGTGCAGGGTGAGTGTTGTGAGTGTGGTAAAAGTGATCATGGTTCACACCGATCCACCACCTCCACCTGGTGGGTGCAGGGTGAGTGTGGTGGGTGCAGGGTGAGTGTGGTGGGTGCAGGGTGAGTGTGGTGGGTGCAGGGTGAGTGTGGTGGGTGCAGGGTGAGTGTGGTGGGTGCAGGGTGAGTGTGGTGGGTGCAGGGTGAGTGTGGTGGGTGCAGGGTGAGTGTGGTGGGTGCAGGGTGAGTGTGGTGGGTGCAGGGTGAGTGTGGTGGGTGCAGGGTGAGTGTGGTGGGTGCAGGGTGAGTGTGGTGGGTGCAGGGTGAGTGTGGTGGGTGCAGGGTGAGTGTGGTGGGTGCAGGGTGAGTGTGGTGGGTGCAGGGTGAGTGTGGTGGGTGCAGGGTGAGTGTGGTGGGTGCAGGGTGAGTGTGGTGGGTGCGGGGTATCACGGACTGGGTGGGTGCAGGGTGTGGGTGGTGGGTGGAGGGTATCACAGGGTGGGTGGGTGCAGGGTGTGGGTGGTGGGTGGAGGGTATCACAGGTTGGGTGGGTGCAGGGTGTGTGTGGTTGGTGCAGGGTGTGTGTGGTGGGTGCAGGGTGTGAGTGGTGGGTGGGGGTATCACGGACTGGGTGGGTGCAGGGTGTGTATGGTGGGTGCAGGGTGTGGGTGGTGGGTGCAGGGTGTGGGTGGAGGGTATTCCAGGGTGGGTGGGTGCAGGGTGAGTGTTGTGAGTGTGGTGAGTGTGGTAAAAGTGATCATGGTTCACACCGATCCACCACCTCCACCTGGTGGGTGCAGGGTGAGTGTGGTGGGTGCAGGGTGAGTGTGGTGGGTGCAGGGTGAGTGTGGTGGGTGCAAGGTGAGTGTGGTGGGTGCAGGGTGAGTGTGGTGGGTACAGGGTGAGTGTGGTGGGTGCAGGGTGAGTGTGGTGGGTGCAGGGTGAGTGGTGGGTGGAGGGTATTACAGGGTGGGTGGGTGCAGGGTGAGTGTTGTGAGTGTGGTGAGTGTGGTAAAAGTGATCAGGGTTCACACTGATCCACCACCTCCACCACCCCTACTGTGCAGTGGACCGGCCACCACAAAGCAGCACACGTCGGAGGAGTGAGCGGATGGCTCTCCCTATGCGGGCCAGGCTCCCTTGCTTCCTCTTTTCCTGCTGTACCACCAACTCCTCCACCAGGGTCTCC